AAACAGCACGTCTATCGCTATCCGAGCGTGCTCACCGCCCGCGACGGACACCGTTCCTTAAAACGCGAGCAGCTTAAACTCCCAGCCCGAATGGTTTCCGTCGACTCTCCGAGGACAAGACTCATTAAAAAGGTAGAGAGCCCAGCCTGCGTAGCTGCCACCGGCAGGTGCTGCTGTCCGGAGCGAACGACCCATATTTCGGGAATGCCTCTCATCTCCGCAGAGCAGCAAGGAACCTGAGCGAGAATCAGCGGCGTAAACCTCTCCAAACGTAAAAAACGAAAAAAATAAAAATAAATAAGCGTTTCCAAGAGATAAGCTTCCCTTCTCTTGCGAGGCGGTGTTGAAGCCGCGAGGCGAACGGTTCGAGGACCGGCGATTTAAATTCGGTTCGACGACATCGGGCCGGGCTCCCTGGAGTAAACATGGCGACGACGACCAGGTGAAAAACAGACGGGTCAATACTCGGCGCGGGTCAAGGACGGAAGGAGGCTGAACTCCTCAATGGGACGGCTCCCGCATTGTGCGGCGCGGTGCTGCCCACAGCGCAGGTGTTCAATGCGGACCCGCGGGGGGACATATTTTGGGGGGAATATTTGAATGTGTATGCGTGGACTCGGTGCAGTTACTATGGTGCGTACAGTTGGCGTGGAAGATCGGCGCCGATGCGTGGCCAGCTGAACTTGTTCCTATCTACGGGCTTCTTTTAAACGGCGACAGTCTCTGTTGGCAAAGTATCGCAGCGGTTCCCGTGTGTGTTTCGCGTAGGGTAGTGACGTCATCTCACGTCACGGGAAATGCTTCCTGCTAAATTTAGCGGAGAAATTGTTTCGCTAAGTATAGCGGAAAACTTGGTCCGCTAAATTTAGCCGGAGTTTTGTATGACTTCACGACATTTTGATACGTGGGTGGTCATGTGACGTCAGAATCTGGCTTGACGCAAAGGTGTTACCTGATGTCATGGCGTTACGTGAACAACGTCCTCTAATATTTATTTATTTATTTATTTATTTAGTTACTTCTAAAGGCCCTGATGGGGCATTATGTAGAGGGAACTATCATATAAAACGTGCAGAATTTAACAAACTATCTGCCAAAAAAATAATAAATAAACAATTGAATGACACCAATACCAATACGAATGATGAATCAACAACAAAATATCACAATCACTTGCGGCAAAAAAAAAAAAACCTGTCACAATCAGCAAGCACTTGTTTTTTTTTTACCACCCAGGCAAAAAAAAAAAATCAAGTGCTGCTACCAAGTGAATGATATATCATATGCTTGTAACAAGAATTTGTTTCTGGTGAGGATCATTTCACTTGCCAGCCCATTCTAGTCAGTTGTGGCCAGGACGAACTGGAATTGAGCGCGAAGTCAGTCCTGGAATATATATTTTTCTTATGCCACGTAAACAGGTGACGTCATTGTGCCATGCGACGTCATGTTGTTGCATCAACACCCTTCTCTAACTTTAGGGTTACCTACGTCCAGAAAATGTAAACATGACTTTTGCAGCAGAGTGTCGCCACGTTTCGTTCACAAAGCGCCACAAGAAAACGTTTTTTTTTTTTTTTATATGTTTTGTACAACTGGGGTTTATGCTGTTTTTCGCTGTAAGCATTGCTTGTTGAGTCGTGTTTCACATTTTAGCTTCCCATAAACGGATCTGTTCCCAAGGCTTAGCCGCAACCACAACTACATTTCTTTTTTTTTTTGTGTGTGTTTGTTGCCGTATAAAACTACGCTCGTTTTAGTGCAGTCTGTTGCCGCACAAAACTCACAAAAAAAAAAAAAAAAAGCTCAGGGTAGTGCTTGGTAACAAGAGCGCATTTCGCATTGTGCGCAGCTTTTGCTACTTTCCCTTGCCAGTCTAAAACAAAACAAAAAAAATAAATAAAATGAAAAGGCAGTAATGATCTTTTCCCCCTTGGTGACGTCAGAATAGTGGTATGTTAGTACAGAGTAACGTATAGTGACGTCGTTTATTTCTGTGTATTGGGGAAGAAAGCCTAAACTGCAGATTTCCTTCCTTTTTTTTTTTTTTTTTTTTGGAAAAGGGCGGGGGAGAGTTGGAACAGACTGTAAGTCGGGATCAAGAAGACAATCGAGTGACCGAAGAACAGTGTCACGCGATGCGAAATTAATGACGGTGGCAACAAAAAGCTAGAAAAAAAAGAAAAAAAACTTTGAAACGCGATGCTTTACTCTGAAATACTCGGAAAACGCACGAGAAAGTCCGCCGACACAACTAGAAAAAAAAAAAAGCGAACAAAACGCGTACAGGCGTTTGTCTTGGTGATATTGTGATGACCTCATGGTTTAATCGATCTACGTTCGTTCGTCATCGGGAAGAACCATATATGGATCTTGGTTCTGTTTATAGGTTCGTCTATGTTATATCTCCAATTATTGTAAAATCCCTCGCATCTACGCATCTGCTTCCTAAATGACAGACTTCAAACCACCACGGTTGGCTTCATGTCGACTAAAAACGAGAGGAATGAATTGTGGATGAGCGAATCGCAACAAATCATCATTGAATTCGAAAATAGCCTCGGGATAAAAGGAACGTTGAGTGAAATTCGAAAAAGACAACAGCTATTTCATTAGGCACATACCAGACTTGCTGAAACGTGCGTTCCTAATAAATACGCTGTTATTGAACTTTCTCTCAGCGTTTATGATTTCCGATAAAAAATATTTTGAAGTAGATTTATGATAAGAGGAAGAAACATAACGAAAGATTGCCGAAACACGCAATGTTAGCGATACTTGCTTTGATCCGAATATGTCACCTACATTCTGTCCATGATGCGGCAACTAAACAAACGATGCGTCAAATTTTACGCGTAGAGCGTCCTTCTATCGGGACCCCGTAGAAGTCCCCGAAGACTCGTGTGAGCCGCAAATCCCGATCAATTTGTCGCCTGTCAAGCCGAGATTGAAGTCGCCGCCACACGCGTCACTCTGGCGCCAATTCCCGACGTTCGTCGACAGCCGACGTGAATGCACGCGAGATTTATTTATGACGAGCGGAAACAGGCGACAGCTGGTTTCGCTAACGACTTGCGCGGCCCCGCTATCGACTGTTCTCGGCTAAACAATGCGATCCACTCCGTACATTCGACACAGAACTGCGAGAATCATCCGGAGAAAAGCGAGTGTTTCGCTGTGTCGTAAAATCTACCGTTCGATACTTCGTTTCCTGCGACCCCGAAAAAAAAAAGTTAAGCAATTGAAATTCGGTTTTCAACTGTTGGATTTCACGTCGGGTGTCCGTGTGTGCTCCGGCTGTTTGTTATAAATTATAAATCATCCGTTCGAGAAATCTCAACCAGGGGCAGGGTATAAGTTCTTCCAGGTCGTCATGTTTGTCCGTATACATAAGAAGACTGGAGAGTTGGCTTTTCCGCAATCCACATGGGAGAGCCAATCGCTGCACAGTATGGTAATACATCGGCGAATGGCGATGCTAAAAATATCTTTACCCCCCAGAAAGTTCTCCAGAAATTTAATCACTCGAAGATCAAGAAATGCAGGGCAGTCCCGATCATCATATCAGCAGCCAACAATATTTCCACTTTAGGTGATAATAACTCCGAGCAACCAATAGCCGAGGAAGAAACGGGAACATTATAAACCCGTGTTCCTTAACCTGTCAGTAAATATAGTTTTCACATGTTTTCAATCTTTCTTTTTGTTTTTAAGATTACTGTCATTAATGCTCCAAACGTGGAATCTAAATAAGGCTATAGCTAAAGCTTTTTTTTCTTTGTAATTATGCTTGATAAATGTTTTATATTTTGCCCCCGTAAATACATTTTAAACCTATTTGATAGTGATTATTCTTGTTTTGTGTGTGCGTGACATAGTTCAGGTGTACTTCCAGCGTGCAAAAAATCGCGGCACTGGTTGTCACCGTTAAATGTGAATGCTATTTTTTGTTCTGTCTTTCTCGATCATCTTGCTTGAACTCATTCGGTCCTCAGTGTGTAATAAATACAATAAAAGTTTAAAAAAAAAGTAGATACTTTTTTTCTTAATAATAGACGCGCGGGACCGACGCAGACATACTCATCATGTTTCTGTTTATCTTGGGAATCATTCGTTCCTCGCCTCATAATTTAATTTTCCCTTATTTGCTCGTGCCATCAACTCGTCCCTTCTATAAACGCGAGATAAGGCACCGACCTTGTCTAGCGGACGATAGCAAAATAACGGCTTCATAACCGAACAGCTCCGACACAGTGTTTTTTATAGGAGAGGAAATCATCGTACGAGCACAATGCACTCGCTTAAAAAAATATTTTGGAGGAGGAGAAAAAGATGGGGGGGGGGGGGGGGGAAGTGAGCATTAGCACATTTTCCGGTCCGTCGGCTGATAATGATGTGCTTGTGTCTCTCCTTATTTCTTCTTTTTTTTTTTGAATAGTATAATTCTCGGCAATGTGTTACAGCAAAGGAGTTAATGGAGAGTTTACGTTTGGGCGCCCAGAGCAACTTAGGGCGCGTGCGCACTGCGACTTCCCAAGTTATTTCTGGGCCCCAAGTGTTAGCGCCCCCAGGTGTTAGGGCGCCCTATTCCGTACAACTCCCTGTCAACTATGTTGTTTAACAAAGTCAATAGGGAGTTGATAACCGGCACTCCCGATTGAAAAGGTCCTACATGGAAGCCGGTGCGCGCTCAGCATGACCTTGTTTCATTGTTTATAAATAGACGTGTTTTCGCACAGTTGCATCAGCAGTTACTTCTTTCTCTTAAACATAGTGGCGTCTGCACAGACCCGCTGCGCAATCGGCTCGACCACTTTAGCATGACGTCAGTCTCTGCTGCGTTCATTTCTCTAACAGTAATGATTGCAGTGCCTGTGCTCTTTGTCGGTTGAGTTGTTTTCGCGGTTTACGGTGTTGTTTGTGCTTGAAGTGACGCTATGCCTCCGTCTGCACTGTTAGGCCGGTTGCTGACAGTGGCCTCCCCTTTGTGTTCGTTGCAGGGTCTCGTTGCTACTATGCCTCAACGCTCCTCCGTCCATCTGAGAAAAGAGCCGTGAAGCCCTCCGCATGTTCGACCAGCATGAAGACCACTGGGGATACGAGAGCAGCAGTCTCTACGGCAGCATGTGAGTGGGCCCACCCTCTCCTAGAAACGTTGTCCGCATCCGCGCACTGTCTTACGCCTGGCGACTGATTACCGCACTTTCTTTGACGGCAACACGGTCACGGATTGCTTTGCAACCGTCCCCACTGTCGGGAACGTGCAGAGTTCGTCCGCTACGTTTCGACGACTGTCGTGGTTTGCAGCAGCCTTAATGCGTTACAAGCTACGCGTCATTTCTATCTAGTTGCTCCTTTCAGTAATGAAATAACAACTCAGTTATTTTTTCGAGAGAAGGAACGAGTAACGTATATTTGTTACTTCTTGACTGAGTGACGAGTAATGGTATTCTGTTACCTTTAGAGAGGAACGTGTGCAACACAAGTTGTCCTATTTGGTTTTCACCCGCAGTTCACGTCTGTGGCTTTTACGGCAAAAAAGAAAACGAAAAAAACTTCCATTAGCGCGTTAAACAGTTTGGCATTATTAACTCCACTAAATATTGGGAGGCGGCTACCGCTTTATAAAGTGAAATATTATGAGACATACGTCACCTTTAATTCGCACTACATGCCATGTTTTGTTCACTTTCATTCCACGCGTGACGTCACGTTTCACGTGAGCGCTGTGGGTTGTTTGAAATCCCCGCACGAGGTCATATGGCTGGGTCGTCATGACCCTATCGACTAATCAGGATTTTTCCGTCACGCCACCGACGCCGGCTTTTCTGCGACTCGAGCTTCTTAAAGGGGCACTCCGGAGCGTTCTGCGATGGTCTATTCATGGCGGTAACTCAATCTGCAGGCCCTAAGGATCCTAAAAATCATAAAATTACGGTCATGCGCGGCGGATTTCCCTATTAAAATTGCTATCAAAGTCCCCGGCACGCCCCCTTTCTGAGATGACCCCGGAAAACGGGAGGGGCATCTCTTTACGCGTCAGCCAATAGCAAGCGAAGGATTCCGGCGTCACCTCGCGTCTCCAACGCCGCCGACCGCCGACCCGCGGAGGAATCTCTCGAACACGCGCGGACCGTCGTCAAGGAAACCGGACTTAGTGCTCGGCAGTCGTCGTTCGTCGCACCGCACCGTCGCGCTGCTACTGCAATACGCAGTCGCATTCCACAGATGACAAGGAAAAGTTTGACTCGTTGACGTGGAAGGATCGCAAAGCTGGCTTCGGAGTCGGGATCCACGGGAAGAAGGAACATGTGCCCCTCAAACGCACGCCTGCAGACGCCCCGGGAAGCAGACGAGCCGACGCGCCGACGCGTCACCCCCTAGCAACCATCTTGCGGGAAGAAAACATAGTTCTCTGGTTTTGGAGCGATAATTGCGGACTGTGTTTCCCGCACCACAATCAGTTTACGTTTTTCTCAAACTCTAATTTACAACAAGCTTATAAAGTGTTGCAATAATAATGTTCGCATTCACCGCGAGATGCAGCATTTCCATTGGTCAAGTTTTAGCGATGGGCAGGGAATGGGGGATTGTCTTCCGAGAGAAAATAGTCCCTATATATTTCTTCTGCCATCTGCTTAATAAACAGTTATGCAATCTAAAGCCTTGTATACATATTAACTCGCACCTACTACGCAATATAACAGCATAAACAGACGATCGCAGAAAGCTCCGGAGGGCCCCTTTAACGCTATTGCTTTGAAACACGACAAGAAGTAACGTATACCCAAACCCGGGACCAAACAGCTGTAGACAAAAACGATCAGACCAGATAGGGACAACCGAGATCTTTAAGCAAAAAAATCTATTTCGAGGTACTCACAATGCCGCTGGATAAATTCCTGATAAGTAATAATAACTAAAATGTGGTGCACCTGCTCGATACTAAAATCGAACAGGTGCACTACACGCCCACATGCAGACTGTCAGTAGCACGTTTAGCGAAAACCACGAACACGAAATTGTCGTCCGTCGCAGTTGAGAAATTCTTAGTACGACCACGGTGTGGTTCCTGGTGCGGTCGCGGTGGCGTCTCCCGCTTCTTTTTCGCTCGCTGGATGAGCTTCTGAGCCCGGACGGCCGAAGAGGCTCAAGGAGCAGGGAACTGAGACACCTTCTCCTTGATCCCCACACTGAGCTGCTCTAGAAGATAGGTCCCATGCATGAGACAGGAACCTGACACTGAGCGTCCGCACGTTGGGGACGCTCAAAATAGCCGAGCGGCTTCCCCGACGCATATATCTTGAAGGGTCACGTGATCTCTCCCACAGACCCGTGGGAACGATTTTGATGGTTGCCGGGCTTTCACGGAAAAGATTGGGACAAACCCCATAACCCTCTTAAGACCTGTGGCGGGTCTCTTACAGCCTTTAGAAACTCTTGAAAGGTAAGGCACCTTAAAAAAACTTCGACGGAGATCTCAAACCCTTCAAAAAGTGTTGAAGAGTACCTCAAAACATTTGAGAAATCCTGGTAAGCCTCTTGGACGGTTTTTCAATATAGGTACTAAACCATCAGTGGAATAAAGAAGCGACTTTAGTCGGCTACGTGATATAGAGAATAACGAACTCAAGAATTACATCTTCTGCACTCTATAAACATCTTTTTTTGTGTGTGTGTGTGCAAAAGTTAAAAATGAAATATGCCAGAAGGAATGTGTACAGTCCTGATGTTTTATTATGTGGAACGATTTGGCAATTGTCCTCCGCTTAGACCGGAGGTGACAGTCGCGACCACATGGATCGCCTCCTTGGACCTTTTGCACGGGCACCGCTCGCAAGCGCTTTCACGCACCTTTCATGCGCTCACATGCGCCCTGCATGCAAACACCGCGAGCGCGCATCGTTCCAGGAACTGCATAATGACGACCGGAAGCGACCATGTTTGTTGTTAGGGTTTGGGGTCCATGTTGCAATTGCAGGCGTGTCGTATAGAACCAGACGCGTACTGTTCACCACATCAAGTCTACGAAATAGGAAAAGTACAGCCCTTGCACTGGCTCGCATCCGAGGAACTCCGATCAACAATTGTAATGAGCACTAGATCCGCATCTACGGGTCGTTATCATAATAGTGCGGTTGCAACATTCTCGTTTGAATGACAACCCGCATCGCCGAATCGTATTGATTATACCCTCTGTGCATCTATCTAGTGTCTATCACATATGTATGCCGCTGTCAAAGAGTGCGCATCTGAGATTAAAAGTTGTGCGTTGCGATCCCTGCATGAGGTGAGACGTGGACGAATATATGGCGACGGAAAGGAATGAAATCTGGCACGCGGATGTCCAGTGCGACTCTCCAACCACGAATCAACAAATCTGCATAAATATTTATCATATAGCATATCATATATCATGTAATGGAGATATATTGTAAATAAATATGTAGGACCTCATCGTGGTTGCCACAAAGCGAACAGAAATATTGTTCGACAACGCTCTTTTTGAAGTGTCCTACAACTACTTAGTTGAAAACACGCGTAGTGTCAATCACTATACTCCCTTAAGAGAGCTCGACGAATGGTGACAAAAAAAAACAACATTAAAAATATGTTTTGATTGAAAAATGATATCGCCTTTAGCAACGAGTATGACGTTTTCGATTGTCACGTTCTGAGTTTCGCGTCGCAAATTTTTTGCCCGCAAACTCTTTTTTCTTTTTTTCTTTTTTTTTGCATGATGATTCGCCTGTAGCTCTCTGTAAGCCGCAGCGATTGGCTGTTCACGTCCTTCGCTACGGAGTGCATTTCCGACTGTTTTAATAAACTAAAAAGCTTTATGTTCTCTTTTTTTTTTAGACCTTGCGAGTTTCGCTTTTTCCGGTGCTGACAAGCACGGCTGGGTCTTCTTTATCCTTGCTGTTATTTTTTAGTATAGTTTCAAGCCTGAATCAACCCGAAAACGTATAAAGCTGGTAGATATACTAAAAAGACGGAAACTAAAAAATTTAATTAAGTTAAAAGAGTGGTACAATATAACTAAAAAAAAAAAAAACTCAACATTTTTTTTTTTTCGATTACAGTTACGTTTGCAGAAAAGTTAATGCAACCTCTAACAAACAGGAAGTGGGCCGCCTGTGACGGTCATATTTTACGACGAGATCCAACTGCGCGAAGCTTCGCAGTGCGGCTTCCCAAAGAAAGAAAAATAGCTTCTTTTTTTTTTTTTTTTTTCATTTCACGTACGAAACCTCCATTGACGCGTCATGACAAATAAAATGAAGAGACCTTCGGCTCTTTTAGCAATTAACCCCGAGCAGGCAACCTGCGGCGCCGCTCCACAGATGTTTCTACTAGGGTGCCTTGTTTCTACCGACATCTTGGTTTTGCGGTGTGTGTCCCCTACTCTCAACTTTATAGCCATGCAAAAAGCACAAAGCGTTCAAAACATATTTCTATTAGTAATTTGTTTGACTGGAAGTGGCCAGTAGACTTCGATGATGCACACCGACCACATCCGCAGGAGATTGTTAGCGGTCGCTATGGGAGGTCTTTTTGGCTTATGTGGCACCATGGAACACGGCGGCGATGGCGGGAATCATCGCCTGGTCGCAGTCCACCGCGATTCTCTCATGTTCTCTACCGTTGAATGGTTTCACCGCCCCCCCCCCCCCCCCCCCCCCTAAAACCAATGCCTGTTGTGTTGCAAATGCAGCGCATGAACCGCATGAGACCGATCGAGCAGTTGGCAACTCCCTCCCTATGCCCGGCTTCTTGTGGCGCCACCTAGCGCAAGGCGCCCTCCGTATACTCCTTTTGTAGCTCCCCCAAAGGGAGAGGAGGGGAAGGGAGGGGGAGAGGGGCTCCGAGCCTCATTTGACACGGCAGCGTGTCCGATGGACTTGTCCGGCCAGCTGTGGACGGGACACCGCAGTCGTGTCAAGCGATGGGATCTTCGCTTGGACGGCTCATCAGGCCGGCCGCGCTTTGGGAGAGGCTGCCGGGGTCGTCCCTCTGCGGGGGGACATCGGACGGCTCTGTGTGCGCCCCTTACTGCACAAAGAGGACCGTGTCTAGGGTTCCTTTTGGGGGCGCGTTTTGTTTCTTGCGGCGGTCGCTTGCTTCG